CCGCGTAGGCGAAGTAACCAGTTGTGTCAGACCATATGCCAAGGCAAAGTCATAAACAGATCTCCCCGCATGATCGGTTAAACGTGAATCGAGCCATTCGGCGTGGTGGGCGTTAAAATCGCCAAGGATCACGATCTCTGCGGATGGGACCTGTTGTAGCATGGAATCTGTAGCCATTTGGACGTGGTCGATGAGTCGGTCTGTTTCGGCATTACCGCTATGGGACCTATAGAGGCACCCGTAGACGCGCGGATGGTCGTCGCTGTCTACGCGTAACCAAAGGATGGACAGGTCCGAACCTTCAAGACTGCCGAGGCGTCGAGAACAGATGTCCTCTCTGACATACACGCAAACTCCAGCCCGAGGCACAAAGGAGTGCTCCAATTTGTACCCCGGGCAGGAGAGATACAAAATATCAGCCGGAGAGGAAACCTGCGTCTCGGTCAGAAAGAGCAAGGCCGGCTTCGCCGTCTCGAGATGGTAGTGGACGGCGTTTAAGTTAGAGTGAAATCCCCTGATGTTGCAGAAATTCACGGATAGCGTCGCAGGGGTCGCCTTGGTATTGTTGCTCAGTTTGCCCCGAGCAGTTATGTTTTTGAGCGGAATATTGCCCCCCCCCCCCCCCCCCAGAATACGCGGGGCAGCCTGAGCACCCACGCTCAGGATTGGAATAACATGGTCGTGGATGCTCAGCGAGGGATTCTCCAAAGGTAGTCTATTGTGTAATTCCGCTATCATGTAGATGGGGGGGGGGGCGGGATTGGGCCTCCGGCCACCTGCACTCACCAGATGAAACGCAGAAGCAGAGCTTCTACTTCACGCCGGTATTCTGTGAGGTCGTGGTACCAACCCGGCTCGAGCCGGCCCATACGTGCAACAGCAAAAACTGCTGCGTGGCTCTACCACCGTTAATAATTTTATTATTACGTACACACAAATATTTTTACGTATTACGGACGGGCGTGATTGTAGATACAAACCAATCAAACCAACGCTCCCTGCCACCAGATTTGTTTAATTTTTATCAAACACTATGGTCGGGATCGACCGGGGAATCGAACCCGGAACTACGCTCTGCTACCAGAATGTTACGGCCTACGGCTGCTCCTTTAAAGGTCAAATCCTCAGGGGCCCATTCAGCTGAGTTTCGACGAGCAGACGTAGGTCGGGCCTCCTCTAGGCCAAAGTGGAAAATCTCTAATTACACTAAACTATATGGGGGAGCGTTCTATACTACGACCATTCGACCGGGAGAATGTTAGACGGAGCTTACTTACCTATATCCAAGGCGACTGGTCCCTCCGGAGTCGGTCAGGTCGCATGTGGTTGTGTAGTGCAAGGGAAATAAGGTGATGTGATGTGTATCTGGGTGTGACTGATGGTGATTGACCCGAGTAAACCTTGGCCGTCGGTACACATCGCCACGAAACTCGCGATACCATCCATATCATCTGGATGATTGGCGGACCACCACTGTGCGATTTAGAAGAAGTTTTCTTCCTCGCACAACTTCTTTGTGCCATATTACCACCAGCGATTTTTCCGGACCGATACAATTTAGAGAGTATTCTGTGAGAGCGTGGTAGATATGGAGGTATTAAGTTTATTATTATTATTACAGCCTAACAATGTCCGTTGCAACTTTATCATGAGTTGAAAAGAGATATTGGAATTTGTCCTTGAGATATGTTGGAGAAGTTGGATTATTCAAAATTGAGAAAAGAACAAGCAAAGTTTCGTCTTTGTCGGATAGTGAGCCATTTCAGGCGTTCACGATAATGAGATGTGATCATATTTTCAGAGACCAAATATATATAATATATTGTACACGTCATCGTTGGAGCCACACGCAAGTGTGAGTAACGATCCAAGAGCGAGTCTCATCCGACACTATTCCGAAGATATCCCGGACGTCAGTCTGAACGAGATTAGAATGGCTCTCCAGCACCTTAAAAACGGTAAGGCCCCAGGCGAGGATGGAATTACAGCGGAGCTTCTGAAAGCGGGTGGAAAACCGGTACTTGAAGTCCTTCAGAAGCTCTTTAAACTCCGTCTTCCATGGTGGCATTACACCGGAGGCGTGGAGCAGAAGTGCGGTGGTCTTGTTCTTCAAGAAAGGTGACAACGCTCTCTTGAAGAACTACAGACCGATTTCCCTTCTGAGCCGCGTCTACGTGCTGTTTTCGAGTCATTACGAATCGTCTCGTGCGCAGACTTGACGACTTCCAGCCTCCCGAACAAGCCGGTTTCCGAAAGGGCTTTAGCACCATAGACCACATACATACCCTTCGGTAAATTGTACAGAAGTCCGAAGAGTACAATTTGCCACTATGTCTGGCGTATGTGGACTATGAGAAAGCCTTTGATTCCGTCGCAATTTGGGCGGTGCTGCAGTCCCTTCAGCGGTGCCAAGTTGACTGTCGGTATATCGAAGTGTTGAAGTGCTTGTACAGTAGGGCTACGATGGCTATCCGAGTACAGAACCAGAGTACGAAACCTATCCAATTGCAGAGAGGTGTAAGACAGGGTGACGTCATATCCCCGAAACTCTTCACCGCTGCATTGGAAGACGTTTTCAAGCTTCTGGACTGGAAAGGATACGGTATTAACTTCAATGGCGAGTACATCACTCACCTTCGATTTGCCGACGATATAGTCCTTATGGCAGAATCGCTGGAGGACCTAAGCACTATGCTCAATGACCTCAATAGTGTTTCCCAACGGATAGGTCTTAAGATGAACATGGACAAAACAAAGATCATGTTTAATGTCCATGTCAAACCTATGCCGGTAGTTGTTGGGAACACTAAGCTCGAAGTTGTTGACGAATATGTTTACCTGGGACAAATAGTCCGACTAGGTAAGTCCAACTTCGACCGAGAGGTCAATCGACGGATTCAACTCGGCTGGGCAGCGTTCGGGAAGCTACGACACATCTTCTCGTCAGACATACCTCAAAACCTTAAAACGAAATTGTACAACCAGTGCGTGTTGCCAGTGATGACTTACGGAACTGAGACGTGGTCCTTCACTGCTGGCCGTATGAGAAAGCTCAAGGTCGCTCAGCGAGCTATGGAGAGGGCTATGCTCGGAGTTTCTCTGCGTGATAAACTTAGGAATGAGGATATCCGCAGTAGAACCAGAGTAACCGACATAGCCCAACGGATTAGTAAGCTGAAGTGGCAGTGGGCCGGCCATATAGCTCGAAGAACCGACAACCGATGGGGAAGAAAGGTTCTCGAGTGGCGGCCTCGTACCGGTAGGCGAAGTGTAGGGCGTCCCCCTACGAGATGGAGTGACGACCTGGTAAGACATGCAGGAAGTCGATGGATGCAGGTGGCTCAAGACAGTGCTTTATGGCATTCTTTGGGGGAGGCCTATGTTCAGCAGTGGACTTGTGAAGGGCTGTAATGATGATGGATGATGATGATAGAAACAGAAACAGAAACTTTTTTATTCAATATAGATTATAAATAATACTTATTGAAAGTCACTCTTTTGTTTGATTACCACTGGTTCGGAAAAAACCTCTGTCCTGGGAAGAACCAGCAAGAAACCCAGCGGGACTTTTTTTTAAATAACAGCTTACAATCATGATGTTACACAAATTAACAACACAACAAATTAGAAATAGCTTGGTAGCGATCACCTCATTTCCAGGGGTTATTATCATCCATAAATTCCTTAATATTATAATAACCCTTTTTATACAAACTTAGTTTAATAAAGTTTTTGAACTTTGAACAGGTCAAACTTTGTATATTTTCTGGAATTTTGTTGTAAAAGCGTATACATCGCCCCAAGAATGAATTACTGACTCGATGGAGTCGAGTAACTGGTACTACTAGCTTGTGTCTGTTCCTAGTATTTACAGAATGAATTTCACTTATTTTTGTAAAACTACTTTTATTTTTGTGTACGTACATTACATTTTCATAAATGTATTGAGAGGCCAAAGTTAATATATTAATTTCCTTAAATTTTTGTCGCAGCGACTCTTTAGGCTTTAAATCATAAATTGCTCTTATGGCCCTCTTCTGCAAAACAAATATAATTTCAGTGTCAGCTGCGTGTCCCCATAGCAAAATACCATACGACATTATGCTATGGAAGTAGCTGAAGTAAACTAGTCTAGCTGTTACAACACTGGTTAAACTTCTAATCTTTTTTACAGCATATGCTGCAGAACTAAGTCTGCTTGCTAGTTTTGATATATGGGGGCTCCATTGAAGCTTCGCGTCTAGTGTGATTCCAAGAAAAATGGTGGTATCTACAAGACTCAATTTCAGATGAAATATATATCCAATACAGTGTATGAGAAGACGCTCTAGCTTGTTTGGATTTTGGTTCAAATCTGGGTAGCACACATCTCCAAATCAATAATGGGCATAGATTGCCTCATACGAGAGATATTTGCCAAGTTACCAAGCTTGACATGCGGGTTGGCAACCGCAGTTTTTTATTAGTTGTTATTAGGTAGATGCCGCTGCCCGCCCTTTCACGGGTGATATATTGACGGCTCTGTAGCGCAGTGGCTTATCAATGAGTTGTTGCGTTGGGGGCCGCGGGTTCGTATCCCGCACGGAACAAGTATTTGTATGGCCTACAAATAATTGTTCCAGGTCTGGATGTTTGTCTTCGTGCAATTTATGTTTGTAAACTGCCTCCACGACACAGGAGAAAATCCTAGTGTGTGGGTAACGGTTTTTAAAAAAAAAAGATATTCTTACACCGCCATTTGTCATAGCTGAACAGATTTTGTGAGTGTTTGTGAGAGTTGTAGTGGAGTAAGAAGGTTAATATAAATAAATATTCATTGTAAGTTGTGGAGCAATAATAAACTCGCAAAGCTGTCGTATAATTTGATCATCCCCGCAGCTCACCTCAGAGTGGGTCCCTGGATGGTTTAGACCCACAATCGGACCCGGTAGGTGGCGCTGCTGTCGAGATCCAGAAATCACTTGTGATAAGTAAACTATAGAAATGAAACTAAACAGTCTATATTATAATACTTTATTGCTAACCACCACTTCATCCATAACATAACACTGTTTCAATGACGAACGACCTTTGAACGTGTCCAAGCGCACCGGCGAATGGTGTTGAAGCCAGTTTGAGTTATGCGTGTAATTCCACCGATCCACTCAAACACTGTTCCGGGAATGTGGGCACCTGTATACTAGCTATGAAGGTCGGCAGTTACAAATAAATATCTCGAAATCATTTGTAGACATTTGATTACGCATAAAAATAATATAAAAAAACAATAAATAGAATGTTTATAAATGACAAATGACACTTTTGCTTATACATTTTAGATTCAAGATGGCCGTGTCCAAACGATTCCGAGTAACATAACTTTCTATTCCAAAGCGGCAGCACCAGAGATGATCTCAATGAGTTCCCTGGTGATGACAGCCTGGCGGGTCCTGTTGAAGGTGAGGGTGAGTTTCTCAATCATCTCTCCTGCGTTCTTAGAAGCGTTGTCCATAGCGGTCATACGGGATGATTGTTCAGAGCAGGCGCCTTCTTTCATTGCATAGAACACCATGGAAGCGAGAGAGAACTCCATGTAAGACTGCAGAACATCGCTGTCCAGAGAGTCGTAAATTGCGAGTTTTGGTGCAGACTGAAATGAAATGTAATAAATTAGAAACCTTATCTACATATATCTTTAAGAGAATCTATCACTTAATTTTGTCCCGTTGGTGTTGTAAAGACTCACCAATGGCAACAGTGTTGCCAAGTCCATTTTAGTCCAATTCGCCAAAAAATGGGGTAAGGTAACGAAAAGTCGCCCAATTGTTTAAAGTAATTTTTCTTTGGCTAGTGTCTGACTACCCTAATGTAAGGTTCAATCACAACACAGAGATTTAGATGACACCAACATTTCAATCACAAGGAAAGACAGATGCTTAAAAATAAATGCACTTTGCTATTCGCATTACAAATGACAAAGCAAATGGTTCGGTTCGAAATTCATTAGATCTAAGTATAAAATGTATCTATTTGTAACAAAAACAGAATCTTTTTATTCAATATAGTTTATAAATGATACTTATTGAAAGTCGCTCTTTTGTTTAATTACCACTGGTTCGAAAAAAAAAACCTCTGTCCTGGGAAAAACCAGTAAGAAACCCAGCGGGACTTTTTTTGAATAACAGCTTACAATCATGTATGTTACACAAATTAACAACACAAAACAAATTAGAAATAGCTTGGTAGCGATCACCTCATTCCCAAGGGTTATTATAATCCATCAATTCCTTCATATTATAATAACCCTTTTTTTAAAACTTAGTTTAATAAAGTTATTGAACCTTGAGCAGCTCAAATTTTGTATATTTTCTGGGGTTTTGTTGTAAAGCATATACATCGCTCCAAGAATGAATTACTAACTCGGTGGAGTCGAGTAACTGGTATTACTAGCTTATGTCTGTACCATTACTACATGTCACAGTACAGGTGTTCACCTGAAGCATCCCAGTTAAATTCCCATTTTAAAATTAAAACAGATCTGTGGTAGGTCTAAGGTTGAAAGCTTGTCTAGAAATTTTACCATATAAATATTCCAAATTCAAACACTAGCCAAGGGTAATGTCTTCCAGATCGAATTTCGGTCACAGCGGTCAGGCTCAACGGACAGGATTATAGTGCCCAAGTGTATGCGCAAGCACAGGTGCACTTTGTATTCCATCACTCTCATAGTCCGATGGGACGGCAGTCCGACACGACCGGAGAGAGATCAGGCGCAGGACCAACGGCTTTACGTACTTTCTGAGGCACGGGGGTGAGACACCGCCAACTTCCTGACTCCTGGCATCTACTGAGAATTTCTTGATGGAAAAACTCAATAAATGTTTTTTTTGGTCCAACTCGGGCTTCGAACCCGGGATCAGCGGTCGCACTACTACAATCACTAGACCAACGAGACAGTCAATAATACTATCCAAGAACTAGCAACACTATATTAACATTACTAATACTTCGGGTAACCTATACAAGTAAGCTTAAACTGCTTGTGCCATGACAGTAGTCGAATGGCGGATTCGAATACATGACTTTCCAAGACACCACATCCTTAACCATTAGGCTATGGTCGTTTCGAGTTATCACATACTCTCATTCTGATATCATCTGAATTTTCCATATATTGTACTCAAGTATGAATTCTAAACTAGTCCATCCTGTCATCAAGTCATTGCAGAAGTCTCTCCAATAAGTATTTCAAGCCCAGCAGTGAGACAAATATAGGCTTGTCATTGAAAACATTAGCAATAAACTTTATATTTTTTAATACCTCTCTAATTAAAATTAAAAAAAAAATGTCTTACCTCAACAGCCTTCTGGCTGTACAAGGGCAGGTTAGCCTGGGAGTAAGAAACCACAGACTTGAATTTGTTGTAGATAATTTTTCCCGAGCCAAAGTCATAGCCCGAGGTCAGGATTGCATTCGCTAGCTTAGCAGCGTCGAGGAAAGTTGGGGGACGGCGACCAATCTGTTATAAAAAAACAATATTGACCAAATAGAAAGAACAAGGTTTAACTACAAAAGATATATTTTTTCTAGCCTTTTAACTAAACGGTTACCAGGTAGTGGCATTGTAAGAATATCCACTACCCTATATCATCCCAGGGGTGTCGTGAGAGGCGACAGAGGGAAACAAATCAGGAGATGAACAGCAGCGTATTCCTAATAACGACTAAAATAAAAAACTGCGGTTGCCAACCAGCTTGCCAAACGTGGCAACCATGGCAAATATGGGGATATTATGAGGCCATCTATGTTCAGCAGTGGACTTTAATAGGCTTTAACGATAACTAAAGAAGTACCTTAACCGCGGCCAGTCTTTGTAACTTTTACATTTGCTGTCAAATTCTACACTTAACATTTTAGTTCAAATACTTCCGTAGAACTTCTATCGTGAAACAGATTCTAGTCTAAGCCCGAAATGCTTTAGAAACTACTTTTTTAAAACGCTGTTTGAGATTATTTGTTTTTAACGGACATCAAAATAAGGAGGTACTCAATTAGACTGAATTTTTTTATGTTAACTCTAAACTATTTCTTTTAATTGAAAGCTGGTGCTTCTCATTTCGTCCCACATAATTTTGATCAAGATTTAACGAGTAGTTATTGAGTTACCCTTAATAATGTATATTTAATTGACTTCGACTACATTGATGATGTTCTCTTATTTATGTTTCAATTAACCAGTTGTTTCAAATGTAAAGGTTTATAATATCAGTGAAATTTTGATACAACTTCTTGTTGATGGGACCTACCTCATTAGCCACGCTAATGATGTGCTTCCCGTACAATCGCTGCAGGATAGCGCGCGACTTGTCTCCCACACAGATCACCTTGATGTTCTCTGCTCCGGGCTCGCTCAGACGGTTACGAATCACTTTAGACACACCGGTGTGCACTGCGCCGCAGAGACCTGGGAACAAGGCATAGCAAGAGTTTGTTACTTTTAAGTTTGTTACTCTTTATTACGCCCCACAGCAACAAGAGCCAAGAGTATGAGGAGTTAGTAGAGTCCGCCACGATATTCCAGTGTAAGTTTGCAGATTTCCGAAATATGTCTAAATATCTCAGATGTACAGGTATAGGTATTCTCACGACGTTTTCCTTCTTCACTGAGCACTCAAATTTCAATTAACATCGTCTGTCGACTGGCGCGGCTTCTGCTGTTGCGGAGTCTAACAAGCAGTGCAAATATACTGTCCTCGGAGAAGGATACATGTTTGTGTTATTTGATGTAGAAGTGCTAGGTCCGTAGGGACCTGAAGCAAGAAGTTTGTACAGGGATATCTTGTCACGCCTTATCAATGTGACCTAAAGGCTGACAGATACTTTGGTCAGTGGAATATCCTCGCAATACAATGAAGCAACTAAACTCTTCTGGACACGCTACCAACAGACTATGTTTTTACTTAATCTAACTAATCCATTTATTTGTTTAATATTTTAATTAGACTAAAACTGTTATTTGTATTAATTAGAATATAATGCTGTTGAAATGAAGTGATTCTAGATCGAATTTTCTATTGTTTCAGACAGTGAAAACCAGCAGAATTAGTAAAGTTTATTTCTAGAAATCTTTAACACTAATAGAAAGCTATAGAAATGTATTCATTACATTCTAAGAAATTCCACTGAACACAGGCCTCCCAATATATTGTGAAGTTATCAAGTTTGGCAGGCAAGATGGTAACCACAGATTTTGAGTTTTTGAAATCAAAACTTCTTCAAAATCGTTGTTATTTGAAACTTGGTGAAACGAAAAAGCGACACTAAAAAGAGACAAAGATATACATATATAGGATTTAGCCTGCGAAAGAATGAGACAGACACTTTTTGCCAATATTAAACGTGGTAGAGTCATGCTGAAGCTATATTAATTGTATAGTTGAAGCACAAATGTGTCGGCTCTATGGAGGAAGGACCACACTCTCACAGAATCATCATTCATCATCGTTACAGCCTTTCATAAGTCCACTGCTGAACATAGGCCTCCCCCAAGGAGTGCCACAAAGCACGGTCATGAGCCACCTGCATCCATCGACTTCCTGCATATCTTACCAGGTCGTCACTACATCTAGTGGGGGTCACCCTACACTTCGCCTACCGGTACGACGCTGCCACTCGAGAACCTTTCTTCCCAATCGGTTGTCGGTTCTTCGAGCTATATGGCCGACCCACTGCCACTTCAGCTTACTAATCTGTTGGGCTATGTCGGTTACTCTGGTTCTAGTGTGGATATCCTCATTTCTAAGTTTATCACGCAGAGACACCCCGAGCATAGCCCTCTCCATAGCTCGCTGAGCGGCCTTGAGCTTCCTCATACGGCCAGCAGTGAAGGACCACGTCTCAGATCCGTAAGTCATCACTGGCAACACGCACTCGTACAATTTCATTTTCAGGTTTTGAGGTATACCTGACGAGAAGATGTGTCGTAGTTTCCCGAACGCTGCCCAGCCGAATTGAATCTGTCGATTGACCTCTCGGTCGAAGTTGGACTTACCTAGTCGGACTATTTGTCCCAGGTAAACATACTCATCAACAACTTCGAGCTTAGTGCTCCCAACAACTACCGACATAGGTACGTTAGGTGCTATTAATGCTGCTGTGTTTCTCATGGTGATTGTAGACCAGTAGAGACCCTTTTTTACTGGAAAACATTCCATCTTAGTTCTCACAGCTGACAACATGCATTGCAACATGCATGCATTTTGATGCGCAAACGAGGATGACAGATGTAGATGTCGTCTATCGGCCAGTCAGTAGTGGAGTTGTGAAGGACTGTAATGGTGATGGTGAACCTTATAGTACCACATTCTGTCCCTTACAGTTCACCAAGTGCATTTTATACATTTAAAATTACTGTAAAAAAGGGGACTTTGCATTTTTTTACCTCTATCTGAGGTTATGGCGACGTACAGTTCTTTCGGCTCGTCTTCTGGGGGTGCTACCTGAAAGGAAAAACAGACATAGAAATATGTGCGTTTTCTTTAAAATTATTTACATATTATAGTATGTTTTACTTAGAAGTACAGTATAATTTTTTTTATAGAATATTTAATAATGTGTCACTTCCTTCATTTAAAGATAAAGGGGTGTTTTACAAACAAATTATTCAGTAAAATCTTGAATTTTGTCTGTAAGATTGTGTATTTTTTTTATTGGATAAGGGTGACAAACGAGCAAACATTCCACCTGATGATAAGTGTTTGCTGCGGTCCATAGACATCCAAATCTATCCGCGATTACAAATCAAAATGCAGATGCGTCGTCACTCGTGGGGACTAAGATGAAATGCCTCATTTCCAGTAAAAAGGTTCTCCGGTACTCTACACTCACCATACGAAACACAGCAGCATTAACCTGCTATTTTACGCAGGTATTCTGTGAGAGCGTGGTCCTTCCCCGGTCGTGCCGACCTATTCGTGCTACAACTATACCACTAATATAGCTGCAGCATGGCTCTACCATGTGAAAATAATGTGCATGCTAATCTTTAAAATACCTTATACAATTTTTACATAGTTTTCAGTGAATCACAGTGACAAGCTTAAGCTAACATTGTGTTTATTCATTTTATGACTTTTCGTTTTTATTCCAGTTCATTCATTTTATTCACTTGATGAGTGCACAAGTCGAAAGAAAAAGTCGACATCTCATCTTAGACTGTGGGCATTACATCTCAACAACATCAACCCGCCTGTAGTCTTCTTTGTTCGAAGTTGGTTTGTCACTTCAATTTTATTAAAACCCATCCACTTGCCTCATCAGGTGGACGATGAGCTTGTTATTTACCCTAACATGTATAAAAATTTTGCATCAACTAGATCAATATAGATTACTGTATCAAGGAGCAAATAACTGAGTGATATATTTTGGGTATTTGCGAGTGACCAGATGCATTGTCACCTCTCAGGGCTAAGTTGGAATGCTCACAGCCTGTAATACCAATGGTTCTCTATAACCTCCAGACCGGAAAACAACGGTGGAAGCTCAAATGTGGCAGAAATAGGTAAGAGGGTAGACAGAACAGGTGTCCTACCACCTAGTCTGAGGAGTAAGGGGAAACATATCACAATCTGTTTTTTTATAGGATAAGCGGGCACACAGTCCATCTGATGGTAAGTGGTTGCTGTTCCCCATAGACAGATGTAGAATCTATCCTCGTTTGTGAATCAAAATGCTGATGCGTTGTAAGCCGTGAGGACTGAGATGGAATGCCTCTTTTCCAGTAAGAAAGGTCTCCAGTTCTCTACACTCACTATACAAAACACAGCAGCTTTAAGCTGCTATTTAACACTGGTATTCTGTGAGAGTGTGGTCCTTTTCTGGTCGAGCCAGCCCATTCGTGCTACAACTATACAAATAATATAGCTGCAGCAAGTGTCTACCACATTCCTCCTGCGATCATACTATCTATCTTACTCTTCATGTTGAAACATAATGGGTGGCTTTGTGCCAGAAATAAATAAGGGTGGTTCCTACTCATATAGGGCTCTCCCACCAAAAGGAACCTAGTGGTTAACGATTATGTATAAGAGCTTTACCTCCGCTTTTTCATAAAACATCACTGAACCTTCGCCGTATGGACGAGCCGCCCTCAGTTCACGTTCAGCACGAGTGTACCTGAAATAATGAAGACAAAATATAAGTAATTCCCCAGAATTTTAATGTCCTCCAGACCATATTTCAGTCACGTCAGCCAGTCTCAACTGAGAACTAGCTATCTTCGTAAGACAGAATTTTAGTGCCCAAAAACATATAGTACTCCATCACAGGTGCACTCACTATTCACTAGGTCAGGCACAGGACCAACGGCTTTACATGCTTTTCCAGGCATGGTGGAGAAACACTGCCAACGTTTTCGACTTTAGGCTGATATTGACAATTTCTCGACAGAAAATCCAAATACTATAAACTGATACTGAAGTGGTTTAAGGGAATATTAGTAATGTTTAACACTCCAGTAGTCGCGCGTTCTACTATTGTAGAACGCGTGTACATTTTGTTGAATTTTGTCGCAAGTTGAAGGTCACTCACGCACCCATTCTCAGTATTCCTCTATTACTAGGCAATAAACAATTGTAGTGTCCTTGCAGCGGCGGACGCGGCCGCATGTCTGTGAAATTTGGCGCCAAAAGGGAATTTCTACGATTGTAGAGCGCGCGACCACTCGCGTGACATTTTTCTCGTAAGTTGCCGTTCATGTTTTTTGTTGTAATAATGTTTATTACCTTTTTATTTATTGTTATGTTTATTTATTTTTATTGTTATGACATGTACAACTTATTGTAAGGTTAGCAGTAACAAGAGTGGCCCTTTTTTTTCAGAGAAATGGCTTCCCGAAGTGAAGAAGAGAGAATTAGTAGATGGCTGGAGAGAGAAGACACTGATCCTAGTGATATAGCAGAGAGTGACCCTGAAGATCGATTATTAGAAGAGGAATGGTTTGAAGAATATCAGCACAATACGGACACGGAACAGGAAGGAAATAGCACAGAGTCCGACCTGGAACGAGGTATGATTAGCACCCATGAATCCGATTTAGATTCCGATGATGATATACCCCTAAGTTCACTCAGAGACCAATATTATACGTCCAAAAATGGTACTAAGTGGAAGAAAACGCCTTATCCTGTCACAAGAACACGTACTTGTAATATTCTTACGGAACGAGCAGGGCCTAAAGACGCTGCCAAAAATGCGAAGTCCGAGCTAGAATGTTTTGGACTGTATTTTGATCAATCTGTTATAGAGATCTTAGTAAACTCCACTAATATCTATATTGAGGACGTAAAATCCAAATTTTCTAGAGACAGAGATGCTAAATTAACAGATATTTTAGAGATTAAAGCATTCCTTGGCATGCTCTTTGTGATGGGTGTCCACAAATCCGGAAGACGGAACTTGGAGGATTTTTGGAATACGACCCGAGGTACAGGTACCGAATTAATTTATCTCGTCATGTCACTAAAAAGATTTAGATTCCTGCTACGAACAATACGATTCGACAATATAAGAGACAGAGACGTACGTAAACAGCATGACAAGCTAGCTTCTGTGAGAGATATTTTTGAGAAACTGGTTGCCAACTTTCAAAAACACTTTGTACCGGGTGAATACATGACATTAGATGAACAACTAGTAGCTTTCCGAGGACGTTGCCCCTTCAGACAATATATCCCAAACAAACCTGCTAAATATGGTATTAAAATCTTTTTACTAGCAGACGCTAAAGTACCGTACTCCTACAACATGGAAATATATGCGGGCGCCCAGCCTCCCGGTCCATTTTTTTTTTTTTTTTTTTTTTTTTTTTTTTATATGAGAGGGGGCAAACGAGCATGCGGCTCACCTGATGGTAAGTGACTACCGCCGCCCATGAACAACCGCAACACCAGGGGAATTGCAGATGCGTTGCCGGCCTTTTAAAAAGGAGTAGGCTCTTTTCTTGAAGGTCCCTAAGTCGTATCGGTCCGGAAAAATCCCTGGTGGTAAACTATTCCACAAGGAAGTTGTGCGAGGAAGAAAACATCTTCTAAATCGCACAGTGGTGGACCGCCAATCATCCAGATGGTGTGGATGGTATCGGGAGTTCTGCCGCGATGTGCGTTCGTGAAATTTGGCGGCTGGGATTAATCCGAACAATTCCTCAGAGCACTCCCCATGGTAGATGCGAAAGAAAATGCAAAGAGATGCAACATCTCTTCGCAGTGCCAATGAATCGAGCCGATCGGAAAGGGCTCGGTCGTCGACGATTCGAGCCGCTCTGCGCTGGATGCGGTCAAGTGGAAGGAGCTGGCACTGGGGAGCCCCTGCCCAGAGATGGGAACAGTATTCCATGTGAGGCCGAACCTGCGCCTTGTAAAGTTGCAGGCGGTGTGCCGGCATGAAATACTGTCCCGCTCTGCTGAGCACGCCAAGCTTTTTAGAGGCCAATTTGGCCTTCTCTTCCAAGTGACCACGAAACTGCACGTCACCCGATATGTCGACTCCGAGGATACCGATACTGGCTGAGGCAAGAAGGGGAGTGCCTTGAAACTGAGGAGATACGACAAAGGGGTTCTTTTTAGCGGTAAACACGCAAACTTGTGTCTTCTGAGGATTAAACTGGACTAGATTTAGTCGCCCCCAATTCGAGACTTTGTCCAGCAAAGACTCGACTTCAGACACAAGTTTGTTCCGGTACTCGGTGACGTTTTCCCGAGAAATATTGGCCCGGCCGGTGTATAGAGCATCACCAGTGCTGTCATCCGCATAGCAATGAATGTTACCAGTTAGCAACATATCATTGATATGCAGAAGAAACAGCGTTGGTGATAGCACACAGCCTTGTGGAACACCAGCGTTAATAGGCTTGTAGTCAGAACATGCACCGTCTACAACGACCTTGATGCTCCGATCTGCAAGAAAGCTGGTGATCCAATTGCACAATTTCTCGGGAAGCCCATAGGAAGGCAGCTTTGAAAGAAGCGCTTTGTGCCAAACCCGATCAAAGGCCTTCGCAATGTCCAGACTAACGGCCAACGCCTCCCCCTTGGACTCTACTGCCTCCGCCCATCCATATGAACAGTCGAACAAGGTTGTGGATATTGTGAATCGAATGTTTACTCCCGTGAATAACTCGAGTCGTAATGTCACGATGGACAATTGGTTCACGAATATAGAGCAATGCACAGAGCTTCTAAATAAAAAAATTACCGTTGTTGGCACTTTGAAAAAAAACAAACCACAAATTCCCGAATCCTTCAAGCTTACTAAACATCGATGTGAGAATGATACAATATTTGGTTTCCAAAAAGAGGGGACTTTAGTATCATACGTGCCAAAAAAAAACAAGGTGGTGCTAATGTATTCTTCTATGCACTATGATGGAAATATCGATTTGACAACAGGAGAGAAACGTAAGCCCGAGATAATAACATTTTATAATAATACAAAATATGGCGTGGATATTGTGGACAAAATGTGCGGTTCTTACGACGTTTCCAGAAACTCTAGACGTTGGCCGCTCACTGTATTCTTTGATATGATGAATATAAGTGCCATAAACGGATATGTTGTGTATACAATAAACAAGGGCTACAGTAACAAGCCACGAAAAGATTATTTGTACGAAATCGGTTTTCACCTTGTCGCTCCGTGCATAAAGCGCAGAATAACTGTCGAAAGCATTCCAAAATCCCTGAAAATAAAAGGAAAACTTCTTTTGGGTCTAAATGATCCCTCCGAGTTGAACCCGGGTCCAGCACAACCCTCAAACACCGGACGTGTTGGTAAATGTTCTTTCTGTGGCAGAGCGCGCAACAAATCCACCAGGAAGCTTTGTTATATATGTAACAAGTGGATTTGTCCCGACCATCAGGTTCTTCTTTGTCCCGACTGTGCCAAAAACGAAGAAATGGAGGTGGAAGATATGACAAATTAAGAAATATGAGACTTATAATGTTAAGAGCAAAAATTTACCGTTTTTTTTTTGTTATTTTCAAAAAGGCTGTTTTTTAGTTCCTATTATGTTTAAATATGATTATGTTTTGTTTCTTTTAGCTTTAGAATAATAAAGTTTATCTCAATATTATACAAATACTTTTTATTTATGAAACTTTGCTTTAAAACTCCATCGTTAAATATGTTCTACAAATGTAGAGCGCGCGACTACTAACGTCCCAAATAGAGGCGCACCTACTGGAGTGTTAATAGCATTACTAGTAATTTTTTTTATAAAAAAAAAAAAAAAATACTATCCCGACATTGATGAAGAAATTATTTGTCATATGTGACTTATATCAACAACTGAATATGATAAAAAAAACTGTGGTTGCCAACCTAGCGAAAGCGTAGCAACTATAGACAGACTATGTGGGAGGCCTATGTCCAACAGTGGAATTTTGAAAAGCCATAATAAATTATTGAATGACCATCACAAAATAAAGAAAAAAAAATTTAATTAATTTTAACAATATATTGAAAGATATATCTACAATCATACTATATCATGATGAGATCACCCATAATGTTGCATGGATAAATATGCATTGTGGGAAAGATCTTATGACATCAGTTATTTTTAGATGGTATACAAACATCTAATATTCTATATATTTAATAATAACCAAACGTGATATCCTAATCACCAGTTTGGTTACACAATATCAATCACTACTTTATCTACAGTGTGGCTATTGTGTAAATTTCTCTTCTTCTTATTCTTTACTTTTTGGCTTCTCTTAAAAGAACTCTGTCTGAATTCTGAATTCTCCTGGAGAAGGCAAACTGCAGTTGAAACTTTCTGTCAAACGTGACAATTATGGCAAAATGTCTCCCTATGAAGCAATGTATGGTAGAGGCATATATTCAGCAATGGACTTAAATAGGCTGTAATGGATGGATAAAAATAATATCTTTTTGTGAATACCTACCATTAAAAATTTTAAACAAGGCTAAGATATTTGAGAATGAATACTTTTAAAGTTCTATTTTTATTTCTATTAAAAACTTACTACCATTCAAAGATTTTGTCCTATCTTGGAGGCATTTTATATATGTTAATTGAACATGTAAAAACATCTACATTTGGAACAATTCATTGCTAATGTCGTAAAGGGGTGAACCTCAATTTTTGAAAAATATAAAATTTAACAGAGAGCTACAAATATGATTAATTTTGTAACAAAAACAGCTAGTAATTGTGGAATAATAAATGTTTTCTAGCTCTCATAAATTTTTTAAAAATTGAAGTTCACCCCTTTGTGGTGTTAGTGATGAAATATTATAAATACATACACTCGTTTTATGCAGGAATCAAAACTATAAATCTCACAATTTTGTAGTTATACTTAGGCAATGAACATATTATGATTCAGTCAAAAATTTATTTATAGGGATTAGGGATTATAATAATAATCCCTGCTAACGTCATATCTCAATGAGGCTATTGTAAGAGTTGACAGAGAGAAACTGAAACTGGAAAAGAGCTGCAGTCATCTTGATAACAGCTAAACATAATAAGAAAAATGCTCTTGCCAACCTGCTCTACAAAATATTGCAATTACAGCATATCTATGAGGGAGGCCTATATTCATGGATATCCATCACAATGGAATTATGATAGGCTGTGATAAATGAATGATGAAAAAACGAATGAATTTTCTTATATGGAAAGTAGTAGGGGACACGAAACCAGTAACTACAATAAAGAGCAACTACAAAAAAAGTAATTAAGTTCTATAAGTACGTTTCTAGGTTCGAAAATTACTTACTTCGCAGCTGATACCATCTTCATGGACTGTGTTATTTTCTGAATGTTCTTTACAGACTTCAGACGCATAGAAATAGCTTTCAAAGTAGCCATGTTACGGTTCTGCTGTTGGTTAACCACCATGGTCACCTGGGCGCAAGCGCCAGGCGTTAAACGACCTAACATTTTTGCGGCTCTGAAATATAATAACATATTACTTTATAAATCAGATGATACTAACAGGTTATATCCAAAGTTATGTAAGACTGTCATTGAAGGTAGCTAACTCATTATAATATGAAACAAGAAAACTACAGATCACTGTTGAAAAATAAAGCGATAATGAATAAAATAGTAAATGGGGTGGTTAAAGAATTAAATACAAACTTTGTAAGCTCTTTTGATGAATTATATTAACGCCAGCCGACGAAAATGTCGCTGGTCAAGAAGACGTCGTTCGCTTTAAGTGCTGTGCCCGTGCCACTGTGCTGCCACTAACCGATTTTTGTAACGGGAAAATCGATTTTAAATAATCGACACATATTTTATTGTACCAAGTTTTTGAACGCGCTATGTTTGTACGTTGTAGAGCCATGCTTCAGCTATATTATGTTCGTAGCATGTTTAGATCGGCTCCACCGAAGAAAGATAACACTTCAGCCATATATGCCAAGCTGTGTTGAATCCGTCGATTGACCTCTCGATCGAAGTTGGACTCACCTAGTTATTATTTATAGTATTTGTCCCAGGTCCCCGTCTCGGTCCCGTCAACAACCTCAAGCTTAGTGCTCTCAACAACTACCGGCATAGGTGTGACATGGACATTACACATGATATTTGTTTTGTCCATGTTCATCTTAAGACCTATCCATTGGGAGACACTATTGAGGTCATTGAGCATAGTTCTTTGGTCCTCCAGCGATTCTGCCATAAGGATTATACCGTCGACAAATCGAAAGTCAGTGATGTACACCATTGATGTTATTACTGTATACTTTCCACTCCAGTAACTTGAAAACGTGTTTGAATGTAGCAGTGAAGAGTTTCAGGGATACACGTCACACAACGTCACCCTGTCTTACACCTTTCTGCAGTTGGATGGGTTTCGTAGTCTAGTTCTGTACTCGGATAGCTATCGTAGCCCTACTGTACAACCAGTTCAGCACTTCGATATACCGACAGTCAACTTGGCACCGCTGAAGGGACTGTAGCACCGCCCAAATTGCGGCGGAATCAAAGGCTTTCTCATAGTCCACATACGCTAGATTATGTGGTAAAATTGGAAAAAGTGGCAGGTAGGTATACTCTTCCGTCTTCTGTACATTTTGCCAAAGGCTATGTATGTGTTCTATGAAACCGGCTTGTTCGGGTGACTTGAAGTCGTCGAGCCTGCGTGCGAGACGATTCACAATGACTCTCGAAAACAGCACGTAGACGCCGCTCGGAAGGGAAATATGTCTGTAGTACTTCAAGAGAGCGTTGTTGCCTTTCTTGAAGAACAACGTCACTGCACTTCTGCTCCACGCCTCCGGTGTAACGCGACCATGGAGGACGGAATTAAAGAACTTCTGAAGGAAGTACCGGTATTCCACCCGCTTTCAGAAGCTCCGCAATAATTCCATCCTCACCTGGGGCCCTACCGTTTTTAAGGTGCTGGAGAGCAATTCTAATCTCGCTCAGACTGACGTCCGGGATATCATTGGAATAGTGTCGGATAAGACTTGCTCTTTGATCGTTACTCACACTTGCGTGTGGCTCCAAAGATGACGTGTACAGCTGCCCATAGAACCTCTCAATCTCACTCAGACAAATCACAGGTGTCCTGAAAACGATGTTGCCACACTCGGTCTTTAGCTTTAACAGTTGGCTCTTTCTGGCAGACATATCTCTGGCAAAGCCTTTGGGGCAATGGTTCCGCTCAATCGCTTCTTCAACACAAGCTGTATTGAAGTTGCGGAAGTCCAGCCACATGCATTTGGAGATCTGTCTGTTCAGTTGCCTGTATGTTGTCAAATCTGTTGAAGACTGCAGCTTCATTTTCCTTCTAACAGCCATGAGATGAAGAGTGTGATCGGAGAGTTTTGTGTTCTTCTGCGGAGGGTCTTGCAGAACTTAGCTCCGACCGCATGGACAGTTTCTACGAGCTTGACATTCATATCGTTCACTGCATTGCAATCTTCTAGGCACTGAAAACGGTTTTGTAACTCGAGCCGAAAGGTATCGAAACTTTGGGTTAGAGCACGAGGGGGACGGAGCGTTGACTTCATTAGACGAGACCGTTCCAACTTAACGTTTAGGTTGTGTGCCTCTAACCATTCGGTGATCGCTGCCGGTTTTCACCCTCGCGATCACTGAGACATCACTGAACAGTTGTCGTCTGGTCGTCATAATGAAGTCAATCTCATTTTTTGTCGAACCGTCGGGGCTCGACCAGGTCCACTTCCTGTGGGGCCGTTTCTGGAAGAAAGAGTTCATCATAAAGAGTCCCTCTTTCTCCATGAAGTCGGCCAGCTGCTGACCCCTTGGGTTCCGTTGCCCTATTCCAAATTTCCCTACCTTCAGCTCGCCATTCTCTCTTGTGCCTAGTTTTGCATTGAAGTCTCCCATTAACACTGTATATTGGGTTTTGGAGGAATGCATGGCTCTAGAGATATCCTCATACATTTCCTCCACCTCCTCATCGGGGTGTGCCGAGGTTGGTGCGTAAACCTGTTTGACCTTCAGCGAATACCGTTTGGTGATTCTGAGTATAAGGTACGCAACCCTCGTCGACACACTCTCAATCTTTACAACGTTGTTAACGAGAGACTTGTGGACGATAAATCCGACACCTCCTTGGGACAGATGGTCGCCCTCCCGGTGATAGAGCAAGTTGCCGGATTCGAGGATTACCGTGTCCTCCCCCTCTCTTCGGACTTCGGATAATCCTATAATATGCCAGCATAACTTGTCTATCTCTTCTTCCAGCTCCACAATCTTCTCGTCAGTCCTCAGGGTACGTGCGTTGTATGTTGCCAGGTCGAGTCGTCGTAGGTGGCAACCGAACCTCCACCGGAGATTCTTAGCACCACCTTTTTTAATATTGCCATACCATTATATACCCAATTTATTAATATATAATTTTAAATACTATATCGTTTATGTGTGAAGTAAAGTAGTCAGAATTAACTCAAAATGAAATATAAAGGTGAGTGTGAGAGACCATAAATCAGTCCAATGTGTGAAATTTACGTTTTATCTCTCATATATATTTTCTCAACAGTGGTAGAGCCACGCGGCAGCTTTTGCTGTCGCACGGATGGGCCGGCTCGAACTGGGGTGGTACCACGACCTCACAGAAAACCAGCGTGAAGTAGAGGTTTACCTCTGCGTTTCGCTTGGTGAGTGCAGGTGGCCGGAGGCCCTTTTTACTGGAAATGAGGTATTCCATCTTAGTCCTCACGGGTGACAACGCGTCTACATTTTGATTTATAATAGAGGATAGATGTAGATGTCTATGAGCCGCAGCAACCACTTACCATCAGGTAGACTGTGTGCTCGTTTGTCACCCTTATCCTATAAAAAAAATGTTATAATTTAGAAATATCGTGAATATTACGGAGAAGTTGTTTTCAACAAAAATGGTGTTGGTAAAAGTAGCGTAATAAAGTATACACCCATGATTGTTTTTTATTTATTTAGTAGATATACCGGGTGTTTGTGAAATGCTCCCGAAAACGAAAACAGATGATAGTACTAAGGACACCTTTGGTCATGGGTCACAAATAAATTTGATCCCTAGGAAAAAAAAATCACCTTTTCACAACGTTTTATTAACTTTATTCACGCTACATCATGTAAGTACAGCTAAATGAAACAATAATTTCATAAAAAGATCATGAAAATACTTAAATACAAAACCAGCAGTAGAATTACTGGATTACACTCAGCTGACTAGAGGTCAATGTAAGCTTCGACGCCGGATTCGCGCGGCCTGCAGCTAGGGATGTTACCACAATACCTAATAATTTACCATACTTGTCTAAATACTTAACTTATCTACTAAACCTACTATTTAGCCCCTGTGCTTGTCTCCTCTTAGCCACTTTATTCACAGGTTAAATAAATAAATAAACCAAATACCTGGTTCGATTCTCCGCTAATAAAAAATACTTAAATGAAATGTTAACAAGGTTAGAGTCAGGCTTTTTGTGTAGGTATATGTTTATTATTCTGATGTATTCAGTTACTCGTAAGTACCTATTCAGATGAGTTCAGTACTAAGTAATTTAAAAAAAAATTAGGTATGAAACAGCTTACCGATCTAAATCATATGAGATTCTCCAAGGCACATTAACATGTTGCCGTATTAACCAGCACTATAAACGTACCTACGCGTTAGGCAGTATTAAAACAAAACAAGAAAAACAAAACGTAACAACAAGAATGTAATAAACAAAACCATTGAACTGTCGCTCACGCGCACGTGATAGTTAACACGGAACTGTCTCAAAAACTAAAATTAATAATCAATCCCACCAAAACAAATGCGCACGACGCATTTGTCCTTGAACCACTGAGCTACTACCACAGGCCGTAAAACCCTTACGACATTGCCAACGTTTATTTTATTTATACGTTTAGTTATCCCTACGATTGGTCTTCGTATGGAATTTAGAAGTTATGGTTATCATTTTTAATACAATTACACAATCAGTTGTACCCTGACGCAACAAGCAGTTTTTTATAACAAAAGTTATATTGATTCATCTTAGATCATAGGTATTTCCACTGTGTTGCTTCAACAATGTATTGAGAATAAACAGCTGACGTGCCGTTAGTACCTGCCAGTGTCGATAAAGAAGTTTAGTTGGATGTCTATAAGAGAAGAATCCGCAAACTTTTAGAATGGCCCTTTGTGATATTTCTACGCGCTTCATAATTGTTTTAGGAGCACCGCCCCAGGAGGTAATGCAATAAGTAAGAAGGCTTTGCGCTAGGGCATAGTAGATACGTGTTAAAGCTGTTTTATCTGTAGCTGTACATTTTTGAATATGTATATTAATTTAGATAATCTATTGGATAATACTATTTTTAAAAGAAAGGTTGGAATCTATTATTACACCAAGATACTTAATGTTATGGACTAATTCTATTTCAATGGGGTTGTTATAAACTAATTTGCTTAATTCCGCGTGAAGAAAGAAAATGATGTGTCCCTGCCCAGTTTTAAGGGGACCTCCCATCCTCCCTCAAGGGGACCTCCCACCCTCCCTCAATCGCGCGCACTATACCCGTCGCCGTTATCTCAGCACTACCACTCCCAGCACCACCACACTAGGCACGACACACCACTCTCGAAAATACATTTGTATTTTCGAGAGTGGTGTGTCGTGCCGGAATTAACGGCGACGGGTTTAGTGCGCGCGATTGAGGGAGGGTGGGAGGTCCCCTTAAAAATGGACAGGGACACATGATTTTCTTTCTTCACGCGGAATTAAGCAAATTAGTTTATAACAAGCCCATTATAACGGATTTCCGCAAAGTAACGCCTGATTCTATCAATTATCTTAATCATTCTATTTTGTTACATTTACATGATTTAATATAAATATTTGAGAGACATTTGTGTGAGATCAGTGGTTTATTGATAATATGATCAAGGCGTTCTTTACGTATTGTGAAAGCAATGTATTTGGTTTTTTCAGAATTCAAGGTAAAAAAATTAGTTTGCAACCATTAATTTATCAAATTAAGTTAAGTTAAAAATAATACTTTTACTTTATTTTGATTGACTTTCCGTATTTAATCAGACCAATACTTTGAATTTAAAAGAGGTACGTGAAAATTATTAAAAATTACTTCCAAGTTTTATGGTAATTGCCGGCTCTAATTCTTATGTCGCCGGCATACTAAATTTCGGTGTCGGTGTACCATGGCAGCGTTGCCAACACCAGTTTGTCAAATTCCCCAATTTAAGGACAAAACTTCAAAAGATTCTCCACAAATTCCCCTCAATTTTATTTTAAGAAGTGATTCAATTTTTAACTAATTTTATAAGATTTACTTTTTATCTAACATTTTTTTTTAAATTAAAAAATAAAGAAATGAAAAGCATTAACTGATACACAAAGTTGCCGATATAAATCCAAAAGTTAAATATGGTGCAATGAAGATAATTAAAAAAGGGAGTCATTCGATATTCATAAGTAACCTAACAAAATGTTAAGATAAATATTTAGATTTCTTGAAAAAAGGTTCTAACTTGGCCCTGGCTATCGATCTTCAAAATCCCCGTGTTTTCCCCGTATAATACCAATTCCCAATCGACTTTAAATTCCCCGCAATTTTGGGAATTCCCCACATGTTAGCAAAACTGACATGTGTAATTTCCACGGCGTGAGGCGACACGAGCCGGCCGGGCTAGGCATTGTTTCGCACCGAGCTAGAAACAGGTCGACAGTGGAGGGAGTGTGTCTGCGCATGGGTACAGTCGCGTTCTAAAGTACTACAGGTTATTGTTTTATAATATAACAGTAATTAATTGTTCTATTGTAGAATCATAATAGGTACTTAGAACTTTGGAAGAGGTTGGAATTAAAAATGGATAATGTTTACTTGAACATTATTTTATTTCTATCGTAAAATAATAAAGTAGTTTCTAAAGCTAAGGGTGACACGCCGTCCATTATACCGTTGGAACATGGAACATGGAAGCCAGATGTCGATAGTGTGTTGGTGTTACTGGATGCTACTTCATCATCACTTTCATCTTTGCTTGAGCTTCCGTCATCAGAACCATCATCATCAATGCGAATGATAAATGTTTCCGTCATCAGGTCGACCACATGGTAATTTTTTCGGTATTCTTCCTCAATACTTTTAAATTTACTGCACAATTTTCCCCATTCACCTTCTATTTACCTTTTCGTTCACTAGTTCAGTTATAAAACAATAGATATAAATAATTTTTCTTTCCTCTCTTTTTAAAACCATCGTCGCGAGTCGTGTAAAGTAAGCTGTGTATCAACTGTATTTTGGAAGCCAACAAAGTGCGGGAAGCATGATCCAATAGCATGTGCGCACAGTAATACTAGCGAGCGTTCCCCCGTCGCGCCCCCTTCGTACCACCACTTTGATCGATAAATCACTGTGCCCACAAGGCCAGCATTCTTTTCGTGACGGGACGTATAAGAGTTCGGCGTCCAAGCGTACATTGACCCCTAGTCAGCTGATTGTAATTCGGTAATTCCACTGCTGGTTTTGTTTGAGTATTTTCATTATAATTTTTTTATGAAATTATCGTTTCATTTAGCTGTACTAACATGATGGAGCATGAATAAATCTAATAAAACGTTGTGAAAAGATGTTTTTTTTTCATCAGGATCGATTTTATATCTCACCCATCATCAAAGGTATAGTTAGTACTGTCGTCTGTCTTCGTTTTCGGGAGCCTTTCACAAATACCCTGTATATTACGATATCGTTATAATCATATCATATTATTTTTTTTCTTCATGAAATTTCGAGTGTGTCTATGTCCTTGTTTCTTTTTACATAGTAGTTATTTGAGTGTAGTAATTTAGTATTTTATAATTTTTATATGTAAATTTATGAACTTTTTCCATAAACTCTTTTCGAGCCCCATGAAGACACAAAAATTTCACGTTTGTGTAGATACATTTTCAGAAAAATGGAGGAATTTGACGAATTATGGCACGACTCGGGCGATGAATATCTGATATCAGCGACCTCCGTGCCTGATATCATGAAGAAATGTTTTCATATAAAGTTGTTGTCGTAATATATCGATATTTATTTTAGAGTATCGAATTCGTATTAATTTCGAAAAATGCATTTATGTGTTGTTGTCAATTTCTTTTCGTCGTCCAACAATCCATAATAAAACTTTATAACTCACGGTTATTTAAAAATAACACTTTTCATCAAGAGACCCACGGGGTGGTATGGATATTCATACATCGCCAATATACAGTAATTGATAACTTCTCAAAACATTTTATTTATAGACATAGTCTTGCAATCGCCGTTTCTCTAGCGCTAACTTGACCTTCATATAAATAATTCGATATTTTAACTGTTGATAATTTTTTTTTTAGTATTGGACAACAATATAGTAATGACTCTAATTGACTATATTGAATTATTTAAAAAATTCTGTTCTAAGTTGGTCCAATAAAATAAAAAAAATACACATAAGTAGACTATATGGTTTGGAGACTTTTGCTTGCCTTATTTAGCAATCGTAACAACATCAAATCCGCGTCTATGTCAATTGTCAATGTCAAAGTAATTATTGGACTGTCACTGTCAATTATTGACGTTAATTTCCTTTTGTTTCTAAAAATTGTGGTAAACTTTTAATTTTTTAAATCAGTAATCAAAATGCCTGCACCAGATTCAAACAATACACAAAAAGTAATAGAAAGCAATGATCAAGAAGTAATAGATCAACCTGTAAGGGAATTAACTCAAACTGACCATCTAAACAAGAAATTATTGACTTCACTTTTTAACAGGATGGTCGAGGGTGATAGGGACTCTATAGTAGCAAAAATGTTGGAGCCAGACAATATAAATGAAGAGCATGACGAGTGGAGTGAATAGTGTATAAGTGTAAACGAATGCTTTTTTACAAAACAAAAATAAAGTTATAATGAATATCTTTGTTTATTTTCTAACATTTAATTTCTGTAATAATAAGGGCCTTTTGGCAAGTTGAAATTGTAAAAAACATAATTTCGTCAATTGGCGAATCCAGTCCTGCGAGTTTGGAAGAGCATTTGCGGTTATTTCGTTACTGAGTAGCATATAACTTATGCAAAAAAATATTTTTTTTCTCAACCCTCGTGGAAGATGTAGAACTACCTTGTGATAGAGCTACTGGTGCTGTATTCTCCACGTTTGCTCTTCCACACTGCGGCATGTCAATTCCAAGTATAATATTTCTATTTGAACCATGGCCACAATTGCTTGTATTGTGTTATGTTACATGCTGAGCAGTAACAAAATAACTGCAAACGCTCTCCTAGACTCGCGGGACTGGCTTTGCCAATTGACCAAATTATATTTTTTCACAATTTCAACTTGCCAAAAAGACCTTTCCAAAATTCGTCACTAGTGCTTGGACTATACTAAATAACAAAACCATTTGAACACCTTTGTTAAGGATGTGGATTTGCTGGTGAGTGAACAAGGAACAGCCACAGAAATTCTGTATATAGTTAATAAGCTGAATAGTAAAATATATATATATATATATATATATATATATATATATATATATATAATATTTCTACCCCATTCATTCAAACCAATACATTACATATAATTCGAATTCAAATATTGATAAGCAATCAACACAATTGCGATTTTTATATGTGGTAGAGCCACACTACAGCTATAATATGATTGTAGTATGAATGGGTCGACCCGACCAGGGAATGATCACACTTTCACAAAATACCAGCTTTAAATAGCAGCTTGATGCTGCTGTGTTTCGAATGCTGAGTGTAGAGAACCAGAGATTGGTTTTTACTAGAAATGAGGCATTTCATCTTAGTCTGCAAAGGTGACGATACATCTACATTTTGATTTGTAATCGACGATAAATGTAGATGTTTCTAAGTGCTAAAAAATAAAAGAATTATAATTATATGGTGATACATAATAACTAAAGGTGTGTAAGGTAAACAACATTTTTAGACATCTATAAATTAACTAAATTTATTTACTATAGAACAAAAAACACAGTAATTTTTTTATACAATTTGTTATTATCTAATTCCAATCATTTTAATACCAATAAGATTTTACTGGCACTCTGTCTTCTTTGATGCCCATAGATTCCATTATATCCATTTCAAAAGTGGCAAGTTTTGGTTGAAACGTGATCTGTGAAGACAGTGGAAAATAATTAAAAATTTGTTACTAGATTAAACTAGGCTAATATTTTTTTAAAATATAGAATACGGGTGACAAACGAGCACACAGTTCACCTGATCGTAAGTGAATGCTATGACTCATAGACATCTACATCTATCCTTGATTAATCAAGGATCAAAATGCAGATGCCTTGTTCACCTCTGAGAACTGAGATGAAATGCCTTGTTTCCAGCCATACTGCTGTGTTTCGTATGGTGAGTGTAGAGAACCGGAGACCCATTTTACTGGAAAAGAGGCATTTCATCTTAGTCCTCATGGTTGATGACGCATCTGCATTTTGATTCTTTATTGAGGATAAATGTAGATGTCTATGGGTCACAGCAACCACTTACCATCAGGTGGACTGTGTGCTCGTTTGTCAACCTATCCTATAAAAAAATAAATAATTATGATAAAATTCCTAAGGAAGTGTAAGAAAGTTGTTGTAAACATTTGATATGTAATGGTATCCATAGTTGGAGATGAAATCCCGCATCCCCAATCATTAACAAGCAGAATAACATATTGTTAATAATTCAAAATCAATACCAGATACTGTTACCTTAGTGACCTCGGACGCAGCTGTGTCTTTTTCTTTATTCTCTATATACAATTCCTTGCTTTTGTAATCAATAGTTTCTTCGGCAGCTTTTGGTATGGGGATTATGCGGCTACTAGCAAGTGATACACGCACCTGTGAAATAATGCACTATTTAAACCTAATTTAATAAAAACAGGCCAAGTGCGAGTCTGACAAGCACATGAAGGGTTCCGTAACATCACAAACGTTTCTGGTTGGGGAGCTTCTTTTAATTTTTATTATTTGTTATTATGGCGGCAACAAAAATACACATTCTGAGAAAATTTCAACAGATTAATACATGGTACATGGCGACACCTGTTACCACTAGCGCCCTCTAGTATCGAGTAGCAGAACTAGGAGAGTCAAGAACATTCTAGAAATTTCCATAGAAGAACTTTCTAGAACTATCGACACCTAGTCAATCGGGAACGATATGTAGTTGAACATTCTAGAAGTTACTATATTAGAAGGTTCTGGAAACTACCTGAGGCAATATATCAGGCGGTATAGACCGCGACCGAGGAGTATTGAATTGGCGATACAAGCGAATACTTCGAAGCGATACAACCGCGAACTAAAGTGATCAGTAATACAATTGTGTTTTATTATTAAGTGTGGTTTTAAGTTGTAATTAGTGTTCTATAATTAAAGTGTCAATTTTGGTAATTCAATCTGCAGTTTTTAATTGTCTCGAACTCCAAGCTCGTAACAATATTTACGTGGTAGAGTCAAGCTGCTCAACCGGGAACGGACCACGCTTCACAGACCACTAGCGTAAAATAGCAATTTAATGATGTTGTGTTTCGTATGGTGAGTGTAGATAAACGGAGACCCTTTTTACTGGAAACGAGATATTCCATATTAATCCTCGGGGGTGACAACGCATCTGCATTTTGGTTCTTAATCGAGGATGAATGTAGATGTTTATGGGCCACCACAGCATCCAATTACCATCAGGTGGACTGAGTGCACGTTTGTCACCATTATACTATAAAAAAAAACATAAATTCGTCACAGATAAAAGATATTTACTGCATGAATAACACAAGTGCAAGGTTATTTTGATAAGTCGAAGAAATAAAGATATTTCATTTCATGTCATTTCATATACACACGTAAAAGTATGTAAAGTCTGAAGGTACTGTGATCATCAATCCATCGGTCAAGCGTGACAAAATTTATCCTCTCTACAATAAAAGAGGTCTATGTGATGCAGTGGATAAAGTCAATATTCTCAGTCTACGGGCTGATAATAACGATACTGAATGACAATTATAAAGTAATATTTAACATAAATGTAGGTCGACCCCCCCCACTAGATGGAGTGACGACTTGGTAAGACATGCAGGAAGTTGGTGGATGCAGGTGACTCAGGACTGTGCTTTGTGGCATTCCTTGGGGAGATCTTTGTTCAACAGTGCACTTGTGCTGTAGTGATGATGACGATGATAATGCTTATGCTGATGATAATTATGATATGTATATCGGCAATAATCAAATTCAATATGTATAACTATCTAGAAATTAAATAATAAATCTAATCAGATTTTCATCAATATCTCTTAGGAAATAAAGAATGGACCATTCATCTGATAACATCAATAGATATTTAATATATTAATTATTTAATTATTTAACGCCCACCATGCCGAATGGCTCGGTTCACGTTTAACCGATCATGCGGGGAGATCTGTTTATGACTTTGCCTTGGCATATGGTCTGACACAACTGGTTACTTCGCCTACGCGGATTCCAGATGTGGAGGATCATACACCTTCCCTGTTGGACCTTCTGCTGACCTCTCATCCGGACGGATATCAGGTTTCCGTCGATGCCCCTCTCGGCTCTTCGGACCATTGTCTGATCCGGAGTATGGTGCCACTCACGCTCCCTTCGCGGTTGCGTTCTGCAGGTTGCCGCCGTGTTTGGCATTACAGGTCGGCGGATTGGGACGGAATGCGGTCTTTCTTTGCATCCTACCCATGGGGGCGGGTTTGCTTCTCGCCGGATGATCCCAGTGCTGTTGCTGACTCTGTCACTGATGTGGTGCTACAGGGAATGGAACTATTTATTCCATCATCTGTGGTACCCATCGGAGGCAGATCTCAGCCTTGGTTTGGTCGCTCCTGTAAGACTGCATTGCGCAGTAAGCAGGAGTGTTATCAAGCCTGGGCTGCAGCTTCGGTGACTCGGGATGTAAACACCAGCACACTTAAAAAGAAGTATAACTTCGCCTCCAGGTCATTCAAAAGAGTTATTGCCAAGGCAAAGTCAGAGCACATAGGCAGAATTGGCGAGAAACTAGTTCGCCTTCCTTCGGGAACCCGTGCATTCTGGTCTCTCGCCAAGGCTGTCCAAGGGAATTTCTGTAAGCCATCACTACCATCTCTGCACAGGGAGGATGACTCACTGGCCCATGACGCAAAAGACAAAGCCGACCTTTTAGGCTCCCTTTTTGCGTCCAACTCGACTCTTGATGACGGGGGGAAAACACGGTGTGAGTGCTCCATGCCGGATGTGCTGTTCTCACAACGCTCGGTTCGCAAAGCACTGCTCTCCCTGGACATCCAGAAGTCGAGTGGGCCTGACGGAATCCCCCCAATTGTGCTGAGGACGTGTGCTCCGGAGTTGGCACCGGTCCTAACGCGTCTTTTCCGGTACTCCTACTCCCAAGGCGTAGTCCCGAATTCATGGAAGACAGCTTTTGTCCACCCGATCCCTAAAAAAGGCGACCGCTCAGACCCGTCCAACTATAGGCCTATCGCGATCACCTCCTTGTTCTCCAAAATAATGGAATCCATTATTAACTGCCAGCTCATCCGGTACCTTGAGGATCACCAGCTGATTAGTGACCGCCAATACGGTTTTCGTCGGTGTCGATCAGCTGGTGATCTTCTTGTCTACCTGACCCATAGATGGGCGGAGGCAGTAGAGTCCAAGGGGGAGGCGTTGGCCGTTAGTCTGGACATTGCGAAGGCCTTTGATCGGGTTTGGCACAAAGCGCTTCTTTCAAAGCTGCCTTCCTATGGGCTTCCCGAGAAATTGTGCAATTGGATCACCAGCTTTCTTGCAGATCGGAGCATCAAGGTCGTTGTAGACGGTGCATGTTCTGACTACAAGCCTATTAACGCTGGTGTTCCACAAGGCTGTGTGCTATCACCAACGCTGTTTCTTCTGCATATCAATGATATGTTGCTAACTGGTAACATTCATTGCTATGCGGATGACAGCACTGGTGATGCTCTATACACCGGCCGGGCCAATATTTCTCGGGAAAACGTCGCCGAGTACCGGAACAAACTTGTGTCTGAAGTCGAGTCTTTGCTGGACAAAGTCTCGGATTGGGGGCGACTAAATCTAGTCCAGTTTAATCCTCAGAAGACACAAGTTTGCGCGTTTACCGCTAAAAAGAACCCCTTTGTCGTATCTCCTCAGTTTCAAGGCACTCCCCTTCTTGCCTCAGCCAGTATCGGTATCCTCGGAGTCGACATATCGAGTGACGTGCAGTTTCGTGGTCACTTGGAAGAGAAGGCCAAATTGGCCTCTAAAAAGCTTGGCGTGCTCAGCAGAGCGGGACAGTATTTCATGCCGGCACACCGCCTGCAACTTTACAAGGCGCAGGTTCGGCCTCACATGGAATACTGTTCCCATCTCTGGGCAGGGGCTCCCCAGTGCCAGCTCCTTCCACTTGACCGCATCCAGCGCAGAGCGGCTCGAATCGTCGACGGCCGAGCCCTTTCCGATCGGCTCGATTCATTGGCACTGCGAAGAGATGTTGCATCTCTTTGCATTTTCTTTCGCATCTACCATGGGGAGTGCTCTGAGGAATTGTTCGGATTAATCCCAGCCGCCAAATTTCACGAACGCACATCGCGGCAGAACTCCCGATACCATCCACACCATCTGGATGATTGGCGGTCCACCACTGTGCGATTTAGAAGATGTTTTCTTCCTCGCACAACTTCCTTGTGGAATAGTTTACCACCAGGGATTTTTCCGGACCGATACGACTTAGGGACCTTCAAGAAAAGAGCCTACTCCTTTTTAAAAGGCCGGCAACGCATCTGCAATTCCCCTGGTGTTGCGGTTGTTCATGGGCGGCGGTAGTCACTTACCATCAGGTGAGCCGCATGCTCGTTTGCCCCCTCTCCTATAAAAAAAAAAAAAAAAAAAATCATATTACATTTTTATTTAAATAGATTGGATAATTATACATCCTAGAAACATGGAAAATACACACCTTATCACCTTCTTCTGTATATCTCCACTCGATTTCAGTTGGTTTCAGGGTTTCAGGATCTACTAACTTAACACCAGTGGTGACTAAAAGTGGTGCTTCGGACAATATTGTAACACCAGGAAACTTCTTATCTTTACCAACCTGGAACCATTGCAATTTATTGGTTATACTAACGGAAATCTAGTTTCTTTAATGTAGCTTATCTGGCAGCATATTACTTATACATGATAGAGCCATGCTGCAGCTATATTAGTAGTATAGTTGTAGCACAAATGGTTCGGCTTGACCGGGGCAGGATCACGCTATTCCAGAATATCAGCGTAAAATGGCATCTTGACATTGCTGAGTTTCGTATGATGAGTGTAGAGAACCGGAGACCCATTTTACTGGAAAAGCAGCATTCCATCTTAGTCCTCATGGGTAATGACGTATCTGCATTTTGATTCTTTATTGAGGATAAATGTAGATATCTATGGGTCACAGCAACCACTTAGCACCATCAGGTGGAAATATTTTTAATCAACAGTTTTAAGTTAAAGGCCATAAATATGAGGTCCACAAACAACAATTGTAAATTCACAAAAATAGATGTTGGCCAATTCATGTTTGCATGACTATATTATTGCTGAAATCTGGGTTTCTATTTTTCATTTCATAGCTAAAATACTTGCATCTACAAGAAGTATAAGAGTAGGGACAAAATTTTCCCCACGTATGCAACATATGTGATCACCAGTGAACACTATTCGTACGGATGGGATTGCATATGAACATCCCCTCCACCTTCCCACGCCGATCTGGATATCACAGATCGACGTTGCGTTGGAAGCGTGTTATTGCGTTTTATATAATAAGATTGTTTCTAATGCATAGTTTTTCGTACAAAATCAAGAGACCAGATGTTGTAATGTGTTGCATACGTGAGACCAGTCTGTCTCTGCCTTAATATGCATTTTTAAATTTGTAGACATTATAACTTTGATTCTTAATAATTGACCTAAAAATTGTCCATGTACCCACATGTGCACTCATAAGTGCATTTATCATCTCAGCTTGCTGTTCTCACTTTATGACATATTGTATAGACATAGAAGTACTTACAACTCTGTAATGTGTATTGAGTCCCTCCACAAAGACCCAGTTACGTTCCTGTATGACTTGGTTGACAATACCTTGTTTTCCTTTGTCTTTACCAACCATTACCTCGACACGGTCACCCCTGAAACAAAAGTATTAGAACGTAGGTAAAATAGAAGATTGTAGAAGGCATAGGAATGATGACAGTTAGTTTTCATTTGAACAGTAAGCCATTTAGTATCATCTTCAGCTTGATTCTGGGAGTTTTTAATCAACTGCACAATGGTAAGCATTTATTTATATCCTGTCTTGTAAAGAGTGAAGGATCGCGGCACAGAGGACAATGCCCCATATGAAAGGGTTGATTATACAATAGTTTAATCTTACTTAAATATTCTTTCAAATAATTTTAAGCGATGTTAAGTTAGGCAACATACAACTACATAAACTGGTAAGTTTCATTACATCTTCTTAAAATATATTTAGTTAGAACTTATGATTGCAACTGTACATGCGTGGTGGATGTGTAGCTCATCCACCCTTGCATTATAAATCCCATAGAATCATGCTGGCCTTGGGCTAAATTAAATAGCAGCACAGACATCCTGACTTTGGCTATGAACATTGTAACAGAAAAAAAGAAAAAATAGAATAAAGTTCGGACAGATCAAATGGCTCGAAAAATTACATTATTCCTGTCTACACGCAAATTACGCGCTTAGACGTGGAGTTGCGGAAAACAGCCCGTCGTAAACTAAACTAAAGTAAACAGTTCAGCTCAGCCTATCACCTGAAGATGGTGGCAGCTATGTATATGTGTTATGAGGGGTTGAAAATCTTGATAAAATATTAATAAGCCACAGAAAATTAACATTTACTTGAAAAAACTCCATTCACCAACTGGCTCCAAGAAAACTTTTTTTCTGTGTGTATTAGGTTCGTTCTGCCGTCTAAACTGTCCTGTCCAAGGTCTATGAGTAGTGAAACGATACTTTTTGCGAGCTATTTGCGCAGCTGGATATTGTGGATATCCCGTCGGATTTTTCCAATACACCTACGAATTTTAAAAAATCACCATTCTTTTTTTTATTTGTAAGGTTATGTTTCATTTTTTAATTACGTAGACATTAATATAACAAAATACCTGCTCATAACTTCTTTTAATGTAGGACTCTGGTAAATTAGAGTACTTAATCGTTAAATCACCGACTTTCTTACCCAAAAAACTAAATATCCTCATTTTTATAAATGATGGCAAATATCAAATAAAAATAAATTACTACCACAGACACAGAGAAACAGAGAATCAAAGATAAAAAAATTTACAATATAACTTTTTATTTATCATTTATAGGTAAAGGGATCTATGACCACAAAGCCTAGTCTGATTTGTATTATGCATATTATTCACAGAGTTTTCACCATAGATTTAGTATATACTTACGTTATATTGGCAATGTAAAACCGAAAGGGCATAAGCTTACGTTAGAATGAGATAGAATGGCTGGACTATACACGTACACGCTATAGGTCTATATCAAGCAGACCGGCGCAGACGTCAATGGTTAACGAAACAAATCCCGCTTATTTTCACGATATCTTTGTTATTAAATGTTTAAAAGTTGTGATTAAATATGGTGACATGTGCAGTACCTGAATGCAGTTCATCGAGAAAAGAAAATTGTACATTTCTCACGCAACTACAATTAAATTATTTATCATTCTAAATCCAACATTTTATAACTGGTACAAATACTTTATACACAAATAGATAGGGAAAAATATCACATTTTATTACAATAATGCTCTAAATGCGTAGGTTAGCATTATATTAAAAATAATAACAAACACGTGAAATCCCGCTATTTCTGATCTAATTTTTGTAGAGGTCATGGAGGTAGGAGGTAGGTTTGGTCATGTAGAAAGAATGAACGAGGAAAGAGTGACAAAGCAAATTTATGTTGCGGAAGTGAACGGCAGGGTCGGGAAGGGACGCCCTAGACGAAGGTTTATCGACCAAATCGGCGATACATTAAAAATGGGCCAGATTAGGAGTACCCATAACCGACGGGCGTGTATGCGTAGATATATGGATGTAAAAGAGGCGAGAGAGGTGTGTCAGGATCGCGCCAAATGGAAGTCCGTAGTCTCTGCCTACCCCTCTGGGTGACAGGCGTGAGTGTTTATGTATATGTATTATGTATATTTTTGTAGAGATTGACACTATCAATATCATCTTATCGATAATATGTTATAATAAGCAAAGGCATACCTTTAGATGCAGCCTCTTGTAACTTCGTATTTTTTTTAATTTTAGGGTTTCGTAGCTTTATGGCATTATAGTAAATACTTTAATGAGATAATTTAAACTCTTATAATGTTTCATATTTACAAAAAATATTGAGGTTAAAGTATGTTTACGATTTTTTCAAAAGTAATGGATGTCATTCAAAAATATATTGATATTAGAATGAAATATTGTGTACATAAAACTACGATCAAGTAAACAAAATGACACTTATGTAATAAGCTAATTTTTATCTTTTTAAGGATTAATAAATTAGTCCGATTTTTGTTTGATTTATAAACATCGTTTTATAAATTCGTATATTCGCTAAAAATCTACCTTATAATTATCCACTACTTTTATTTACTGAATACTTACCGAATTTAAGCTAAAACTAACTTAAGTATAATAACGCATAGGTGTTAATCTTGGGGCATCAACCGCTTTATCTATATATCAGTATCTATAGAACACCTGTTGACGCTTGACCTTGGCTATTGGGTAATGATGGATACGCGCGCTCTATAGCTTGTATTTTTTTATAGGATAGGGTGACGAACGAGCACACAGTCCACCTGATGGTAAGTAGTTGCTGTTACCCATAGACATCTACATCTATCCTCGTTTGCGAATCAAAATGCAGATGCGTTGTCACCCGTGAGGACTAAGATGGAATGCCTCTTTTCCAGTAAATAGGGTCTCCGGTTCTGTGCACTCGCCATACGAATCACAGCAGCATTAAGCTGCTATTTTACGCTGGTATTCTGTGAGAGCGTGGTCATTCCCCGGTCGAGCCGACCCATTCGTGCTACAACCTACAACTATACCCGAAATATAGCTGCAGCATTGCTCTACCACGTTGTTTATTTAAACTCTAAGCTTTTGCTTGAAAATATTTAATTTTGTATAATTTCAGAGAGTCAGTGGTATAAAATAAATTAACTCTGCTGTTCTGTACTGTGTGCTGTATATACAATTCATGCGCATTATCCTCCTCTTAGAAGTCTGTGATCAGATTACTGATCACAGAAAGACACAATGACCAATGAGAGAACATTACTCTCTACAAAAATTCTCAAACTCAATTATTGGATTACTTAGGACTCCGTTTATATATAAATAGTATCATCTATGTTATGGACCATTAGAACTTACATTACAAACCATACAACTATACTACTACAAACCATGGACGTATAAATATTATTATATATACGTCCATGCTACAAACATTACTTACTCAAAGAATATAATATTATCTACATCTTCTTCCTCTTCATTACGTTCATTACTTCATCATCAGTCCGTAAAGTCCACTGCTGGACCACAGAGTACACATTATTTGCTGGACATGGGCCTCGTCTCGACAATATGCATACAATTTAAGATTTTATATAGTTGTTCTCCTTTAATCTCAGTTAACATAATGTCATTTTTATGTAAATATTAATTAATTTAAAACTCACTCCGCCCCTTTCATAGACAATTGACGTAAATCAGCTGTCCATTATCAGTTGTTGTAGGTGGCAGCACAGCATCACGTGAATTTTCATGGCGGTGTTGTAGGGCTAGTCCCGTGTAGTCTTGTGATTTCACCGAAAAACTGCTGTTTTTAAATATTTAGTGATAAACAGCATAATTATTTAAGTACCTCGTAAGTATTACAAAGTCCTTAGATTTGTGGTGAGTACATTTACGCCGTAAGAGACTTGCGCGCGATTACTAATTGTCAAAATTGATCTGACTGTCGTACTAAGGGTGGTTTGGGGTGGAATTTCTAAGCGATACATGTCTGGCGCCAAGATGTCTGGTGACCCAGTGGGCGACGATGCCTTAGACTTGATATTGATTTACTGCATTAGCTGCCTTAACTTCAGATTCGTCTATAAACACCATATCGCTTCCTGCATCCAAGAATGGAGGTCTCGCAAAATCGATTATTAGAACAAAATGAAATAGATTAGTTTTGTTAAAGATGTAAAGTTGCTTGGGTATAAATTTGTGATTAATTAACTTATTTTATCCCCAAGGTCATTTATTGAACTTCATTATTTTTCAGCGGTGAATATGACTGAATATTGGCTTATTAGTGCCCCTGGCGACAAGACCTGCCAGCAGACCTGGGATAGTCTTAATAATGCCACCAAATCGGGCAACCTTAGTGTCAACTACAAATTTCCTATACCTGACCTAAAGGTAAGATATTGTTTTTTTTTTTTTAATTAAGAATTTGTTAAAATCTCCACTTGATAACTGTTTTATCTAAATATATTATGTTAAGATTATTCCTATTGTTAAATAATTTAATGATTACACTTTCATGGTAGATTATTAATTTCATTACAGCCTATAAAATTTTACTATGGAATGCAAGCCTCCTTTAGATTGCATTATTTGGGGGATTTTGTTATAGTTGCCATGCTTTGCAGGCATTTTAACAACTGCAGTTTTTTATTATTTTGGGTTGTTATCAAGAAGATGCTGCTGCCTTCACCCATTTCCTTTGTTGCCTCTTACAACACCAATGGGATAATATGGGGTAGTGGTATAGCCATTATGCAGATTAAAATGGTCAGTTAGACTGGGGAGAAACACACCAAATACCAGCTTGAAATAGTAGCAAAATGCTTGTGTATTTTGTATAATAAGTGTTGAGAACCAGAGACACTTTTTTTACTGGAAATGAGGCATTCCATCTTAGTTCTAAAGTGTGTAATGCCTTTCCATTTTGATTCTTAAGTGATGATAGATGTAGGTGTTTATAGGTCAACAGCATCCACTTACCATCAAGTGGACTGCTTTTTTGTCATCCTTATTTCACTTTCTAGATCTCTTCTCACTTTTTAGATGCTAATAGGACTAAAAATCTCTGAAATTTTTGAGACTTGTAAAAGTTAATAGCTTACAAAGTAATAAATTATACCAATGCAGTCTTTTTGACGTGGTAGAGCCATACTGCAGCTATATTAGTAGTATAGTTGTAGCACAAATGGGTCGGCTCGACCAGGAAAGGACTACACTCTCACAGAATACCAGCGTAAAATAGCAGCGTAACACTGCTGTGTTTCGTATGGTGAGTGTAGAGAACCGGAGACCCTTTTTACTGGAAAAGAGGCATTCCATCTTAGTCCTCATGGGTGACAACTCATTTCCATTTTGATTCGCAAATGAGGATAGATGTAGATGTTTATGGGCCACAGCAACCACTTACCATCAGGTGGGCTGTGTGCTCCTTTGTCCTCCTATAAAATCCTATAAAAAAAAACATAGTGGTGGGGTAAGAATAGGTGGTTGCTGATACAGTTTGTTTAAGGACTTAAGCCAACTTCAGAAGCTATATGAAGCTATTTATATATAAACTATATCTCTATATATAACAATCAATTGCTGTCTGTTATTCTCGCTAAAACTCAAAAATGGCTCGACTGATTTTGGTGAAATTTTATGTGTTTGAATGGGTCCCTAGATGGTTTAGATTCACATTTGCAACCGGTAGGTGGTGCTGTTGTTGAAATCCATAAATTACCCGTTGTGAAGCCAGGGCAGATTGCTCAATTTTGTGATTATAATTTTATTCTTTTTAGTTATTTAGAATAGCTTTTATTTTTTTAATTTTAATTATTTTAAATGTTTAATGATTTGCCCTTTTTTGTGGACTAAGCACAACCTCACAGTAACATTTCATCTCCTATTATTTCGTAGCAGTGAAATTATATATTAAACTTAACTAAGACCATTATTGATACTATTAGTTTATAAAAAAAATAATATCTGTTCACAAGTGCCAAAGTTATCACATAACATACATACAAAAATAAATACATTTAAATTGAGAATCTACTCTGCCTTTCTTGGAAATCAGACCTATTATAATATTGTTGATTGCATCATTAATGTTACTAACATGGATGAAATCTATGATGTAAAAATTGATTAAATCAATGGTTGGTGAT